ACTCTTGTGGGAGACTCTTGCAGGACACTCTTGTGGGGCACTCTTGTAGGACACTCTTGTGGGATACTCCTGTAGGACACTCTTGTGGGACACTCTTGTAGGACACTCTTGTGGGACACTCTTGTAGGGCACTCTTGTGGGACACTCTTGTGGGACACTCTTGTAGGAAACTCTTGTGGGACACTCTTGTGGGACACTCCTGTAGGACACTCTTGTGGGATACTCTTGTGGGACACTCTTGTGGGACACTCCTGTAGGACACTCTTGTGGGACACTCTTGTGGGACACACTCTTGTGGGACACTGTTGCGGGACACTCTTGTGGGACACTCTTAAGGGACACTCTTGTGAGACACTCTTGCGGGACACTGTTGCGGGACACTCTTGTGGGACACTCCTGTGGGAAACTCATTTGGGACACTCTTGCGGGACACTCTTGTGGGACATTCTTGTGGGACACTCTTAAGGGACACTCTTGTGACGAGACACTCTTGCGGGACACTGTTACGGGACACTCTTGTGGGACACTCATACGGGACACTCTTGTGAGACACTCTTGCGGGACACTCTTGTGGGACACTCTTGTAGGACACTCTTGTGGGACACTCTTGTGGGACTCTCTTATAGGACACTCTTGTAGGAAACCCTTGTGGGATACTCTTGTAGGACACTCTTGTGGGACACTCTTGTAGGACACTCTTGTGGGACACTCTTGTAGGGCACTCTTGTGGGACACTCTTGTGGGACACTCTTAAGGGACACTCTTGTGAGACACTCTTGTTGCACACTCTTGTAGGACACTCTTGTGGGTCACTCTTTTGGGACACTCTTGTCGGACACTCTTGTGGGACACGCTTGTGGGACACTCATACGGGACACTCTTGTCGGACACTCTTGTGGGACACGCTTGTGGGACACTCATACGGGACACTCTTGTGGGACACTCTTGTAGGACACTCTTGTGGGACATGCGGGGCACTCTTGTGGGGCACTCTTGTGGGACACTCTTGTGGGACACTCATACGGGACACTCTTGTGGGACACGCTTGTGGGACACTCATACGGGACACTCTTGTGGGACACTCTTGTGGGACACTCTTGTAGGAGACTCTTGTGGGACACTCTTGTGGGACACTCTTGTAGGAAACTCTTGTGGGATACTCTTGTAGGACACTCTTGTGGGACACTCTTGTAGGACACTCTTGTGGGACACTCCTGTAGGGCACACTCTTCGTACGAGACTTCCTCCAAAAGTCACGCTGTGAGGCTGCAAGACGAGCGTTTCGTACGAGACTTCCTCCAAAAGTCACGCGTCAAGTCTCAAAAACGAGCGTTTCTTATGAGACTTCCTCCAAAAGTCACACGTCAAGTCTCCAAAACGAGCGTTTCGTACGAGACTTCCTCCAAAAGTCACATGTCAAGTCCCCCAAACGAGCGTTTCGTACGAGACTTCCTCAAAAACTCACATGTCAAAGTCTGCAAAACGAACGTTTCGCACGAGACTTCCTCCAAAAGTCCAGCGGAAACACCCATCGGAGCACACACATCACGCAGCCCTGCCAAGCAGTTTCGCGAGTCCAGCCCCTCCAAACGACACCCGCTCACACGCCAATCCCAATGCGACAGCGACATTCACCTCTACCACAACTCACAACCTCCCGATTCCCTGCGCCTGCCACGAATCTTTCCGCGTCCACACGTCTAACGCGCACAAAGTACTGTGCCTGCCACGAAATGTCACCTCCGTCACACATCGCAACCTCACGGTTCCTTGCGCCTGCCACGAAAATCCCACTTCCACACCTCAAAACCCGCACAAAGTACTGCGCCTGCCACGAAAAGTAACAATGTCATCTCATGTGAGCTTCAACAAAATTTGCACCACACCACACGTTTGCAATGATTTCGACCCGTTCTGAGCACACTCCCATCCACCAAAATCGGCATTTCAGCTGAGACTTGTCACGAAAACAGAGCTTCGATGCCACACCCTGAAACGCAAATCCCAATGGCACGGCCACATCCAACACCCCAAAAACACGACTCTCCAAACGCTAATCCCAATGGAACTGCGCAGCAATCTGCCGATCTCACAAAACGCTGCGCCTGTGCAGCGAAACGCATCACGTTTCTTGCGCGACATCTCATTTTCATGCAAATCACAATGGAATAGCGGCGCAAACTGACACGTGACACATCCATGAAAAGTCACTTGCAAAAGCTTCCCCCAATGGCAGCGCCTTAGCGCTCTACTGCGAACGGTTGCGGACGGTTGCGAACGGTTGCGGACGGTTGCGAACGGTTGCGAACATAGAAGCAACGGGTCGCGAACAAGGCTCTACCCCCAGACCCCCAAGAGTTAAACGAGAACCCTTCGCTACGCATTCGGGAAAAAAGACCAGCAATATCCAGCAACCCTTTGATTCCACATCTCTGGCCGAATACCATGTCATCGGAAAATAACTCTTCTCCTGTCAATCCCATGATATCGTGGACATCCCAAGATCTTCGTGTGGAGTGAGTACATCACTGCACCTGCGCGTCCAAAGGATGTTGGACGTATCGGTGATCGGCGCGTTCGCACAAAGGACGTACCGGCAGGCTGCTTCCCATGAAGTCAAGTCACTCTTCCCTTTGGGGAGGCTGATGAGGTTTAAAGAAAAACACACACTATACACTATCCCAGTAGTATCTTCGGACAAAGCGCGAACGCTGTAAAAGTCTTGTACCATCAAAGTATGCACTCTGGATTTCACCAGTTGGATTAAACAATGAGTTGGCTTTGTCCATGATTGGCTTTGGTCAACGGATCTTGTCCTGTTCCAAACACACGCACATTTGTGAGGTCAGGCAACATCCATCCCCACACCACGGGCTCAAAAAAACACCCGCGCACATGGGAACTACTGCTCACATGAATCAGAAACACTGGGATTGTGTTTTTTTCTTCGTCTCTCTCTATCTCTATCTCGCTTTCGGCATCTTGGAGCCTATGCTCCCAAGATTGGCATTGGTCCAGGACCCATCGCCCAGCCTCCAGGGAGCAGCTGGTACATGCTGGTACTCGCGTGTGACGTCATATTTGTGCAACATGAGTTGCAGGATGTTGCAGGCACACAATCTCGTTTCTAGCTGTTTCTAGCCTATGGTTAATTAAAGCGGAAACTCCCACTGTACGACCTCATCGTTAACACCACGATTTGTTCCTTCACCCCATCTACTACACCTACACACGCCGCTTAGGCGTGCCTCCGCTCCCCGCAGCCGCGCGTCGAAAGGTCACCAGCTGCGCCTGTAGGCGTAAAAGGTCACCAGCTGCGGCTTACTCGCTGGCAAACAGCCGAAAGGTCCCATGACCAAGCCAGGACGGCATTCCTTCTCTTTGACCCTGGAGAGAGAGAGCCGGGGAGGGAGGGAGAGAGAGAGAGAGAGAGCGAGCCGATCCGTGTCGCAAAGAGGGAGAAGGACATCCCTTTATACATATATATATAGTTTTAACATCAGTTGAGTATTCCCGAGGGAAATGGACAAACACACAACACCTACTTATGCATGACCCAAATATGTAAAATCCTAAAGTTAAAGGATTGCAAACAAGCCACGACATGCACGTTCAAGGCACTCAATGTGACAGGTGAACGGAGCATGATCAAAAGGCAGGTGTTGACGTGTTATGTTTGTCAGGGGCTTCAGCTGCCTTAAGGTCCAGGTCCCAAATGAATGTCCACAACCATCTTCTGGACCCTTCATCTACAGTTGATATCTGCAAGGAAAAGTCCACGTATTAGCTTTGTGAAGAGTAGACCCCTGCAACTCCCTCTGCTAATTACCTAAGAACTATGTTGGCAAACATCATTGTGACCTGGATAAAAAGCACTCTATGACTTGCAGCGCCTCCCGCAACGCTTCTTTGCAAAAATAATGATCTTAGACCTGGCCTGGGGCGTCCCGGCAAGGTCATGGGTCGAGGAAAGCTCGGCTTCACGCAAACGTGATGCCTTGGCTGCAGTGATGACTGACGCTGAAGGAAAGCGATATCATTCCATATCTTCGACAGAGTGGTTCGAACCAGCAACATCGTGAGGCCATCTCATCCGGATCAGCAACTGCCGCGCAGAAAGGTCTTTATGAAACCACAGGCGGTGTTGGTCCAAGTCGCATCCATCACAATCAATCACCAACAAATCGATGTTCCTACCTTTATGACCAAGCTCTTCTACCACTTCTGCAATTGGAGCAGGTGGGAGTACAAACTCTTCCTCCCCGCGAATTTCCCTCACAGCGCTTCAGCCACTTAGCGAACTACAGTAGACTTTCCAAAGCTTGGAACCATCCTTGTCGAGATTGCTCCATAGCTAGGTGTTTAGCTGAATGTGGTCTTGTGCACGGTACCTCCATTGGAACTGAATCTCTGGAAGTACTGCGAGAGCCATGTACGTCAAGTCTTGTCAAAGTATGCGATCGACAGATTGTTACAGTAGGGGAGCACATCTTGTGCTGATTTGTGTTGTGTCTTTCATGAATGTTTTTGTGCGACAAGGCTTGGGGATCACAAGAAGACCCATGTACTGGGTGTTTTCAATCCCTATGTCGCCATGTATCCTACAGACCGTGTCATGGAAACACCTAAGAGATCATGACAACTGCTCAGTGCGGCAAGACTCACCATTTTTCGGCAGCTGGAACTAATCCGTCTGAGCTGATCCGAGTTGAGCGCCCTGGGTATCAGACTGGTATCAGTCTTGCTTGGGTGATGAGAGGCCGCCATATCGGTCAGCATGAGTCAAGATGACCTTGTCAATACCGCCAGCAAGCTTCTGAATGATGACGAAGCTGGCACATGCAGCAGCGAAAAGTCCAAAGGTCAGGATCCATGGCAACTTGCCTGGTGGCCACACAAGGGTATTCTGGTCCAAACACAACCACACAACTCGTGTGTTGTGCTGGACAAGGTCAACTCAAGCGAGAATCCGTTTAAACAAGAACAAACACAGGACCGCATGGACTGTTGCCTGCACTGATTTGAGCGAGTACTTGTTCTATCCTCAGCGCAACAACAACAACTACTACTACTACTACGACTACTACTACGGCAATGGCAACCTAGACCTTTTACCATCAGAACATCTATATAAATAGGACTCCATCTACAAGGGTTTTGCTAAGTTACTCGCCGTTTCCACTCACAAACCAATCCAAACAAGACTTGATGCTTGTCTTTCTACCTACCCCCTTCAGTGAACTTTCATTGCACACTTGACAACTGATAGCTTGCCATGTACCTCATCCCAACAATGCCCAACAACCTTCCCGTCTCACAGGCTCAATGTTTCAAAGCACCAGTCAGTAAAACAGAGTTCTGCTGTGACTAAGGCGGAAGCACTTGCCCGGAAAAAGAAGTACTGGAACTGGAACGAGTTGCAAAAACAACAATGCAATTATATAACTCATCCACTCCAAGTGACAAAGCAAGTAGAAAGCAATGGCTTCACAAATGAAGGCCACCAGCAAACTTCCCAGCATCCGTCCCTGAGCTCCAGGAGCTTCCTCCCACAGCACGGTGTGTGAGGCACCCAGGGCTGACCGATCCTGGGCTCGAGGAGTTCGGTGTCGAGCTCGAACGAAACGGTGTCTTAGCCCTGCAGATGTGGGAGAATACACTTAGTTGCAGATGTTCGCTCAACACATGTTTCGTAGCTCATGTCATCATGAGTTCGTAGGCCACTACAATACAAGAACAATTGATACATAGATCTTACATGGTCTTACAGTCTTATGATGTCTCATGTACATCGTTGGCAAATTGTAGTTCTGTACCTGCCATCGTCGGCATCAGCACCCCTGCCAGGAAGGACCCCCAACTGATGGGCTTCTCACATGATATTTTCTCGTTCGCAAGGAGTAAGTCTGATCCAAGTTGCTGGTAGCTTTCCACTGCCACTTCGCTTGCCATCTTTCTGACATGATGCATAAAACTTTGAGAGGGTCTCTTCTTTCTCCTTCCAAAGTTTTGTGCAAAGTGCACTTGCACTGTCCACTGTTCCAGGACGCTGAACCAGAAAGTGCACTTCTTGGCAACACTCGCCTGGTGACCAGCAGCGGTCACGGGCTTCAGCGCTCTTTTCGGAAAACGTCCAACGGCGCCAAACATGCAACCAGATTGAAAAGCAGGGAAGGCAAACAAACGGTCAAAAAGAACGTGGCAACCCCGAAGCACTCCAGGTATAGTCTCTTCCTCTTTCACCCAGTCATCTAGCACAGCTTTACACATTTCTGCCCAGGGACCTCTTCCAAAGAATTTCACTTCGTTGGGCAGCTCCCCAGGCACATGGTCAATATAGGCCACAGTGAGATCCAAAAGCACCGGAACTTCTTCAGCCTTTGTGGTCTTGGCAGCCTCGGTCATGGAGGACCAAGCAGTCTCGAAGCCAGCTGTGCGTGGATGAAGCACCTGCAGCCAGCTGTGAAAGAATCCTCCAACGAGCTCATTAGGTCCTATAATGTCCTATAGGGCAAGCCAAATCAGGTATCTAGAAGCCCCTTTTTTCACTGACCGAACCACCGCACTCCCAAGCACACAAAACGGCACTCCCCGCCTGCATGTACTTGCTCAACCCTTCTTTCTCCGCATGTGCATGGCTCTTTTGCAAATTTGAATCACTCAAATCAGTTCCTTCTGGGAACAAAAGCATCGCCAGTGGATCCCCCAGAAAGCTGGTCCTTCGCAAGGTTTCCAGATCCGCGTTCCGATCCTTACGACACACGAAGGGGTAGGCATTGCATTGCATGGCCCAGCCAAAGCCCGGAGCAACTCGCAAGGTATCCTTCAAAACGATCTTTAGGTCTGGCAACCGCCCCAGAGCGATGGCTAAGGCCCAGTGAAACATCCAATCAATCCTGGATGGATGATTACTAATCATCAGCACACTGGTGTGAATCTTCTGCAGCTCCGCAAGAGAGACACCTCGGGTGTGGATGTAGATGCGTACACCTGCAATGAATCGCAAGCACGTCACTGCCAAGCCCAACCATGCTGCTTGTCCCCAGCCTGCGACTTTGGCAAACACCTTTCGGGCTTCAGGTCTGGGAATTAGTAGCAATGGAAGAGCTGGCCACAAAATAAGGCAACATTCCACCAAAACGGTCTGTATGAAAATGATGGCCACTAAGATCGCGGAGAAGCGGCGCGCTTCACGCGGTTTTGACGCGTAGTCTTCAGCCATCACACAAGGGATGAGACAGGGCTTCAACTTTTCAGAAGGCTGCGGAGGGAGCAACATAAGTTCGTGCTTTACCCCCGTGCTCATTCAGCTCTCTCTCTCTCTCTGCCTTATGTGGGATTTGCTGATGAACTCATCAATTTCATTCCTACTGTTCAATCAAGATCTGAAATATTCGGAAAGTCTGATGTTTGTAGTGGAAGGATCCTCAACTTTCTGTGATTTTCATGTCAACATACCATGGGCCTTCAATTTCTCAGTTCCACGTTGGCAGTTTCCCATAGGCCTTCTTGCAGCTCGTAAGGCTTGTGAGACTCAAAAGTGATTTCACCCACAGGTTCAGAAGTGCCCCGTAGTATACACTCAATCTGATGGCTGGCCATTGTCAACTCTGCAACGTTTTTGCTGGTCCCTAGGCCCTAGCTCCAAGGTACTCCTTTGAAGAGTAGTAGATCACTGCTCGGCATTCCGGCGGCGTAAACTCATCTCCATAGCGGCAGCATGCATTGCCCAGTCCACACCTCGTCGTGCGAACCGCGTGCAACACAAAACGGGCTCGCAGGTTGCTTGTGCCCCAAGCGAAGAAGTCAAGAAGGAAAACATGGAATATTTACCCAGGCAGCATTGAATTCAATCAACAATGCACCTAAAAATTGTGAACAACAAACGCACTACACCCCGAAGAACACTTTTCGCTCAGGTGTATGGTCTGAATCACTGGATAACCAAGGTGCCAATTGCAGTTACCCTTGCCCTCACAAAACTCCCAGCAGTCCTGGCAGCGATTTCGCGGCTCCACCGCAACTAGCGTGGCATAGCAGTAAAGAATGACACTGGAAACTCTTGAAGGTGTTTGTAGCACAATGGCAGTAATATTTCTCACTCATGAATGCAGCCTGGAGGCAGGATATGCACACACACACAAACAGAACATTTACTCACCTTTACATGCAAAGGTATTGGCCACATGCCAGCTTTTAAACATTTTATAGCCAACAATTTCATACAAACCCTTAATATATCTTGAGTATTTGTCTCTGCCATGCTCTGCCCACTTTGTTCAATTCATCCCCGGTCCTGTCCCTCATGCTTCACGGGCACATCATTCATCGGTGTCACACAAGTGTGATGTCCTAAGCAACGGCGGAATCTGAAGAAACTTTTTTTTGGGGCTGTCGGGTAGGATAGCAGATATCAGCGAAGCTTTCATAGCAAGGATGCAGAAGAGCGAGGGTTCTTCAAAGCTTCTCCAAGTGGGGAGCTGCTGACATGGACCTCACTTAGCACTTCTGTGCCAAGTTGCGATCGGTGGGCCAATCAACGACCCCGTGACACTCTGGAGGGTCCAAGGTACTGTTCTTTCGGCCTAGGAGAGCTGCTATCGCTGCGAAGCTGACCCGAGATTTCCTCATTCATGAAATCCAGAAACAATGGTCAACCTGTCCTGGTTGGCAGGTCTTTCAGTGTGTTTGATCTGATCAAACCTGATGAGCCCATGCTCCAACAAAGAATGTACTGCAACCATCGAGACTCAGGTACAGGCAGCATGCTTGACCTCCTCCGCACCATGCGCAATCCCCACCAATCTGACAGCGCTCCCAACAGTCCTGGCAGAGAAGACTCACCGCAGGGATCCGCAGGGACATTGAATCTGTAGGACCTTCTGCGGCCGTCGCATTTGTGTCCGTGAAGGTCCTACAGTTTTTCATAGATTTGCTCACGGTGAATCTATGGATCCCATCGCTTTTCATCGCTTGTCATGTTCGATCTTTTTCTGCAGCTCACAATCTTCCGGAGTTGGTCAACGATCCGTTGCCTTCCCAGACCATTCAATGAGAGCGAGCGTCAGCGTCACAGAGAACCAGAAACTTCTTCGGCACCTGATGAGAAGCATACAAGGCAAAATAATTGAGTCAAGAACGAACCCCCCAAACATGGAACGGGATGGTGACTCGGTGACATTGAGAAATCATAACATCGTAAGCGGAGTAAGCGAGTCTACAGTCTCCTCATTGTGTGCCCTGCCGCGTGATTGGTACTAGTAGCGATGGGCTCCAACCTACTAGCGATGGCCTCCGACCTAATAGCTTCTTGCTACTAAGAATCTTACCTGTTTTGCGAGGTCAGCAGTCGAATTATGTCGCACCCCGCTCTCGACATGCCTCCGCTCTCGGGTTTTCCGACGCACCGCCCTCTCCTGACCAAAGTGATGGTCCTCCACCTTCACCACCGGCCGGACCTCATGTCATTCTCAACCCCAAACGATCAACATGATTGGAAGAGTATCTGTGCAATGTCGCATAGCACAAAAAACCTCCCCAAGGTGTTCGAGTCCTTGGCTAAAATTCCGCGCAGAACCAATATCTCTATATATAGAATTCTCTAGATACCTCAAGCAGGTGCCAGGCTGGTTCCACATCTGAACACCAAATCTGGAAACGTGGGGCTCCGTGCGCACTCGTGATGGTTGGTCCAAAAATCCGTGATCTTTGCACATTCTGGTGGATCATTCTCGGCTCCCTGGCGCATGATCGATCGGGCCGATTTGGCACATCAAATCATCCTCCGTAGCACATCTAGGTGGCGAGGCAAAACAGTGGCATTTAGCTTCAACTCTTGGCTACAAATGAAGCACCGTGATTTGCAGATTCCAGTGACGGACTTGAAAAGTCTGATGTGCACCAAACCTCCATCCGACATCCGTCCGGCTTCGATTTGTGTGGAACTCCTTTTCCGCAAATCTCCCGCCACTCGGCGTCCGTGGGCTGCGGCTGAAACTGCACCGTGAGGCCGTGGCGGCCGCCGTGGGATCCATCTGTCGCACGCAGTGCTGCCAGGGCGGCACGGTAAAAGCTGGCAGAGCGGCGCCAGGTCTCGTCGTTGAAGCTGGCCTAGGTGGATGAGACCTGTTCGAGGGATGAGACCTAACCTTCAAACCTTTGCGGAAAAGACTTTGGATCTTTCGGATGCAAGTTTGGAAGTTGCACCACCTGAAAATAAAGCAGATCAACCAAGAAGAGTCGAACATGTTGAGAAGAGACGGGTTTGAGAGAATAGATGGGACTACCTCTAATAGTGAGGAGCTTCCTCTTTGAGATGGAGAAAAAAAACCGCTAATCGTGGATGCTAACACTACCCACAATAAATAGCCATTTCGTATCATTCAGTCGATTTTGGGTGTCCAAATCGGACCTCTGCGGAAAGCAACCACCTCGTGCGACGCGACCCATGCGACGCGACCCATGTGTCGAATTAATCTTTGTCTGTGGGTCTGAGGATCGGACCATAGACGCATGCAGCGCCATGAAATCCGCTGTCAACAGTTGATGAATGAGACTCACCGCTGAGCTAAAGTGCTGTAGGTGAGGGAACAAAGCGTAATCCGTCAACTGAAACCTCAATGCGGCTCGAGGTGCATGGGGAGAAATGGGGTCACTTGCAGCCTCCAAATTCAACCTTTCAGGGCATGCTGCTTCTTTTCATCTTCACTATAGAATATATATAATAGAGGTTCTACGATGTTCTCCGACCAAAAACCAGCTGTGCTGTCCAAAAACCTGCACCATCCTCCTTCCAGGTGGGTCAAGGCCCGAACCAAAACTGCCTGAACCCCAAAGGTCCAAGGGCTCGTTCGGAGTTCGTTTCGTTTCGTTCGCCTCGTTGCTTCGCCAAGGAGCCAAAAGGCTGGAGCCAAAGGAGAGTTCAGGTGGATTTGGGAGAAGTTCTGAGACGAGAGAGCGAACCAGTCACCGGGAGTTCGGGACACCGGGTTTGGTCCGGTTTTCGGAGTCCAAACTGTTTTTTTGTTGATTCCATGTATCCTGGAATTGTCGCCCATTGAAACGGGAGGGTTGGTTGAAGTTACATTCCAATGGACATCAAGAAACTCTGGAAACATGCCATGTTATCCATGCTTGGGCACATCCGTGTGGAAGAAGACAGGCAGCGGCAGGCAATGCTCTTCTCCCGGGTTCTCCCTGGTCAGTTGTGCAAACCAGCGCTGCGCAAAGACCGAGTAGCGAAACTCGCCGATGGCATGGATCTTGCTCCAAAGCTCCGCGCTGGGAAGCCAAAGTGGCATTGCCATCTCGTATTGCTCCCAGAACCTCTGATTGGCATGGATGATGTCCACTGAAGAAGATTGAATTACTTTCATGAAGTGAAAACTCAAAGGCAATCGTGGGTCTCACATGGTCTAACGAAGAATGCTTCGGCCTTCGGCCCTTTTGACGGGCGGAGCACTGGTGCCCGAAGCTATGACAGATTACCGGGTGCTGACCGGGCACGTGAGTTTGTCAGGCTGCTCCGGAAAGAAAACAGCTGCATGGAACTTGGCAATCTCTTCGTACGAGAGGAACTTGCCAGAGACCAGCCATTCCAAATCAACGAATGAACCTTCTTGCATCACAGCCAAGAGATTCCGAAAGGCCTGGGCCATGATGGAGTTGACCTGAGTCGCGCAGCAATGCCAACTACTACAAGCCAACCCTGCTGAAACAAGGCTGACGGTGTCACTTACGCCTCAAACTCTGGCTTGGCGCTGCCGGATTTCCTTTCCTGACACGGGCTTTAGTTCTTAGATTGTCAGCCGGGAAATCATACTTCCTCGTGCTGCCTCCAAGTCATGGAATTTTCACTTGGGTACATATCTCCACAGTGTAGTGGGACCTATTCTGGCATCCCTTGCCAAGAGTCATGAGCCCTGGAGGCCGTTTCCATCAAATTTCCCATGTCCGGAGATGATTCACAAGTCATTCACTGATCATTCGCTCTCAGGTTCTCTGATTTGGCTTCCCAACGAGGCGCCCATGGCGCCCATGCGGAGCCGAGTGGCCCAGGTGCTCCGCAGGACCAAAGCTCGAAGTCTGTGGTCAGCCTGGCCGAGCCAACATGCTGATTTTGGCGGATATTGCCACAGCAATTTGTCACACCATCCGAGCCAGTATGATCAATTAAGAAGAACCAGTATGTAAGCATGTATGATCCAAGATGCCAAGTTCCTCGATTCTGACTTGGTGATGGACCGATGAACAGCGGACCTACTCTCATCTCCTGACCCGCTTGCCTCCCGTGGCTGGTAGAGGCCACGAAGTTGCGTGGCGTGTGGACGAACGTGGGGCACCGCCAGGCCGGACATGGACAAAATCCAGGCGCTCTGCAAGACGGAGGAGGAGACCTGAACAGCTTTTGGAAAATGATAGGCACAAAATGGCAGGAGTGCAAGCTGGTATAAGTAGGTGTATACATATATAATATATATATAGTTATATAGATGTATACGTAGATGTATGGAGTACGAAGTAGATGGGAACTTAGGGTAAGGTGTCGATGATAGGTTGAGGTCGTGCTGAACGTTGACCAAGCGACGCCCAAAGGGCATGTGAGATTGAGAGAATTTGGAGAGAAACGTACCCTAATGTACCCCAGTATAGGTTTTGTTTCAAGCTTGTTGACTTCCTCCATGCCGATCAACAGCTGCACTTTAAACCTTGCCGATGAGGTGTCTTACTTCGCAGGGTGAAAGTCAGGGGAAGTTTCTAGGAACCAAATCATTAGTGCCTGCGCTTCTTCAAGGAGGCTCCCACCCGTCCTCAGGCGTCAGGCGAGGGGAGCTTCCTTGAAGAAGCGTGAGCTATCCTGCATCCAGTTATACTGGGAGCTTCCTATTGCGAGTAGTAGCGTCCAAGTTTGTCCCTTACTTAATCAACAGCAGTAGGCGCCTAATTAATTAAGGAGGCAGGAGGCCCACCCGGGCTGAAACAAAAAACGTCAGTACTTTCACAAGGTACGAGACAAGGAGTTGAGAGTCTGAGAGCATCTGCGTCTGGGTTTTGGGAAGCTTTCCTGGCCTAACATATGTGAAAGATATGCATCCGTGGAAGAATGACAGGCTTTGAACAAATGTGTCACGAACAGCTACTGCTTCCTCCACACATCTGGAGTGACAAAGGTCTGGAGCTTGGAAGACTACTCTGCAAACTAGTATGAACTTCGCGTATGAACTTCCCTTGTAAGTTCATGGAAGACAGCCAACTTGCGGCGAAGCACCACCAAATCCAGCTCAGACGTCAGCACAGTTTGCCGAAACGCCTCCAAGACAGGTTGCTTCTGTGATGGTGTCGTGTCGAAGAGCAGGGGACCGCTGTAGTAGTGCAGCATTGGCACTTGTTGAAATCCATTAGGCCACAGTTCGCGAAGCAACCAGCAGAATAAGAAAGGACGAGTGCAAAGTAAAAGATCGGTTCCCAGTAGATCTGAAGGCGCCTTTTGCAAAAAACCTGCTAGTTGGAGAAGAAGTTCTTGGTACTTCTCCTCATTGCGATGGTCTTCTGACTCAGCCCAATCTTGCTGATAATCTTGAAATATCAACGCCATGGGCTCCTGTAAATGGTGCCAAGGATCAGATCAGAATTCTACTTTTCTCTATCTACCTTGACGACCTCCAAGAGATGGCAATTGCATGGCTCAGTTATTTACCAGCAACAATGTGGTTGTGTACTTTCTTGCATTGAGTAATTAATCCCTAGATCTTCACAAGAGCACTTATAAGTGCTCGAGATCCTTTCCGCTCGTTTGAGCAAAGTTTGCTCGTTTATGATGTTTCCGCTCGACCTCTAAAAACTGCTCGTTTTGATTTCCAATATCCCTTCCAACTGAGTGCCCCCACCATATGCACTCACACAGAGCGCACACACACATTTTCATGGACGTACACTTCAAGATCTTGGCCAGTCGACTTCGTCGGGAGGCTCAGTTCTGCCGGCATGCTAGGTCCCACTGCCTTTTGTAGGACACAAGTGATTTCCTAATCGTGCTGAAAGCCAATCGCAAAGAGTGCACTCGTCTTGCTTGTCGCGCAACTCTGCCTATGTAATCTTCGTCCATCCAGCACATAGTGCCTTACAAGCATTTTCTATTGGAACCCACGAGCCCAGGTCAAAATAACAAACACCTTAGGGCCTTAGGACTCCACTGGTAGGGTTGAGGGCTGCAGCTGTGCTGTTCTGCGGTGCCAAATCGAGCTGACATTCTATGTCTCTCCTGGGCACTGTCGCTTCGAAGCGCATTTTGTACGAGACTTCCTTCCAAAATGCATGTTGAAGAGCTGACCAGAGCTACAGCTGACTGGAGTTAGAGCTAACTAAAGCTAGAGCTGACTCGAGCTAAAGCTGAGTAGTAGTAGTAGTAGTAGTACCCTTCGAAGCACAACACAAAGCAGAACAGTCGGGCTGCATTCCTTGCCAAGTTTCACAACGTGCTGCATCATGTGGATCTTTGGTCTGACATAAAAGAGGGCCCAGCGATTGACCGCAGCCAGCCGGGCCATAGCGCCACTCTTCTCGGCGCCGCGCTACTGGCCACAGCTTTAGAGCCACCGTACCGATCTATGTGCAGACCAGCTTCAGTCATGTCCCAACCGCAGCGCACTGCCTCTGCAGCTTCAGCAGTTGTAAGCCACAGGCGTCCCCCGTAGATTGTACGGAAGAATCTGCAAGCAGCTTGGTTGCCCCATTTCAATA